AAAAGCCTTTCATGATATGAAAATCCCGGCAGTTAATGATAACAACTTTTAAGATGACATCACAGTCTTTATATATATATACACACGAGTTTGATACCACTAAATACCGTCGATTGCTCAATATGAAACTGCAGCCTTCCGACCGTAAGAAAATTCTTACTGAGACTTCCAGAAGATACGACTTCTCTTCGTTGTATCAATAACAGGCGAGGAACACTTTTTACACTACGAGACGTCGAATTTATGTTTTTGAAATATTTGGCCCTAGGCTTGAAGATCACGTAGCAGTTGAAAATGACGCCAAATAAGGTTAGAAAATGACGGGACGTGCTCTTGCTGCTTTGAGAGGATTATTTTAATAATCTTCTCAGTTTTAAGGTAAGTATGGGTTAGACAGTGTCATAACTGACGAAGTTGCTCAAAACTTTGAGTGTGTCCCGTTGATCAGATTCATTGGTAATTGTATAAATCGAATGGAGTCAAGAGAGAGAGAACAATTTGGACTGACTGGCTGACGAGCAAGGAGTTGTTTCCTCGTTGTAATACAGGGGAAGGGATCGACAGATGGGGTCGTGACCGGCACGTCGATTCATGCACGTACACTTAATGAAAATGACAGGACGTGCTCTTGTAGCTCTAAAAATATTATTAAGATCAGTTTCCAGGTACGTATGAGCTAGGCAGTGTCTTAAAGAAGTTGCCCAAAACTATGAGTGTGTTCCGTTGATCAGATTCAGGGGTAATTGTCATTGAGCAATTTTACAGAGAGAACAATTTGGACAGACTGACTGACGAGCAAGGAGTTGTTTCCTTGTTGTAATACAGGGGAAGGGATCGACAGATGCGGTCATGACCGGCACTTAGATTCATGCACGCACACTTAATAGCTTGACACCGAAATGTTCGGCAACTCTTTAACTTACTCGAGCGGCTGGATCATACTCATTGTGGTCTCTTGAGAGACGAAGCAACAGGAATTAGAGCAGTTTACTCGCCGTGAAAACGCAGCTTAGGTGTTATCCTTATCACTATGTAATACTTGTCGCAGTTTGTATTTTAATACACGTGTTACTACAAAGTGCGACCATTTTGAAACATAGGCATGCATAGCATGCAAGATTTATTCTTTTTGGCCCGGTGGGTTGAGATGGTATACTATGTGCCTAATGTTCTCATTTCTGTAACGGAAAAAAGCATAACTTTCAAAATAACGAAAATATCGCGTTACTTCACCTTAACAGAAAAAAAGACAAATTTTATCTGAACTCGCACAGGTATTTTGCGGTCTATTGTCGCTAATGTCAATACTTCTAAGCAAAAATGAAATGCATCGGTACCACGCTGATTGTTGTCTCTTTCGCAGCCGTTGTTTGGTCTCGTCACACACGATATTTATCCATTTCTTCCCTGTTACCGCACTTGAATAACGGCACAACTCTTGAAGTCTTCCAGCCGGCTGGTATCACTCCAGAGAAATAGGAACGGTTAATTATGCGAGTCAAGCACTCCGAAATAACCGGAACTCCGTCCTTAGGCAAGCGTGCAGGAGTATTGTCTAGTCCAGTAGCTTTGTTCGTTTTTAGCTTTCTTAACAAATTGTAAACAACTTCAGGTCTTGTAGTAGAACATACAACTCCTCACGCTAACATACAGTAATTTATTTTTTTTTTAATAACAATAAAAAAAAAGCTGAATAACACGTCACATTTTGTAATTAAAAAAAAATAAAACATTGCACTTTGTCAAATACTAGTCGCACATTGTAGCAAAGGGTGACGATTACCACAAAGTGAAAGAACATGTCATTTATCGTACCAAGAGGCCTCGAAGAATAATAAACATCACTGCTGGATCGGTTTATAGACAACTGACCTCCTATTCCGTCCAAGGTAATCGTATAGAAATTTTATTTCGCCTTCAACAGACTTCAAGGCAACACTACCACTTGATTAATGATTAACTATAGGTTAATTTACGAAATAAACGCATCAGAAAACCTTTCTCATTCCTTAGCATATACGTGGTCCAATTCCTGTAGCAAGGACATCCTAAAGACTTGCGTGATTGTGCAACCTTTAAAAAATATTTGGAAAATGCCAGGGAACTTCAAATAATTACCGAAATCCTACCGAATAATTCGCGAGAGCCCGATTTTCACTTTCAAAGTTAAATAATGGCAAATATGATACAGATGTTTCACAAAAGTGTGTTGCTAAAACCGTATCAACCCTTGAGGCCTACACTAGCTAGCAGGTATGAAAAGAGCATGGAGCTAATAAGAGGAACCACCCTCTTTACCAGTTTTCAGCCGTTCGTTTCCCATGAGTGGTGGATAGAACAGGCAGATAGCAATGGTATCTCTAGCGCCGATTGTCATCTTGTGGGCGTTGTTTCCTACAAGAAACATAGTCCCATGATGCTTTTCAGAGTCAAAATCGTGTCGACATTGCCCGTTTTCCCATACGTATTCACCTTGACCTTTGATAACATAGACTAATTCTTTGTTATTTAGATATTGGAGATGCTTGCTAAAACTACTCGAACAAAACGTGTTGTGAACTGAGATGTTGTAGCCATCAGGGGCGGCAAGAAACCTTCGACTTAATCCATCTTCAAAGGGAACATTGCGATCTGAATCAGTTACTTCGTCCAGGCTCTTCATTAGCAAAGGTGGGGGAGATACGCTTGTGTCATGTGGGACGGAAACAGCAACTATTCTCATTGGCTCCTGAATACGAATGTGAACGTTTTTGTCAGTTGTGAGAGCAAGGAGATGGTCAGCGGTGAAAGGCAGCTGTTTGGTTGCACCGTCGTGTATGACACATCGCCCTGTTAAAATGGATGAGGTGTTTAGCAACATGAAAGTTATGATTTTAGATATATGAAATTCATATATTTGTATATTCATATACATCCCAGTTGGCTTGTTAGCTCAGTTGGTAGCGCGCTGCACCGGTATCGCAGAGGTCATGGGTTTAAATCCCGTACGGGCCTAAATTTTTTTCAGGTCCTATTTTCAACTACAAAACTTCGAGTGTATGATTGACGCAAATACTACAAATTTACCACACTAACAATACTCCATGGACTTCTATCGTCCCGTGATGGTACAGGCGTCCTATTAGAGCGAGCTACCGATATAAACTCGCAGTCGTTTATCCGACGGGCCATGTTTGATTTGGAGTTAGAGTGGACGGTGAGGGTAGGGGCCGGGGGAAGGGCGAAAATCTTCACTCCCCCACCCCTGCGCCTCTCCTTATTCTTGACCGATGACTACCCCCTTAGTACGTATTTTCTTCTCTCCCCTGTCTTTCACCGCCATTTAATTAAAAGATGGCGGCCACAATTTTCGCTACGGAAATACTTAGCACCAGCTAACTAAAAAAGTCGAATATGCTGTTTTCTGTCTTGCGGTATAATTCTATCAATAATTCAGGAAGGCTCCGACACGCAGGGCACGGTAGCATGATTCTCCTATGTAGATATATAGTAATTTGGGTTTTATCTTGTTTTTTGTGTGTGTGAAAGCTAAGGGTTTCATTTGACAAGGTCTTCACTCTACTGATATAATTTGCCATAGGGGCGATAGTCATTCGTTGCATGGAAATATTTACTCATACCTTCAACACAGTAGTATATGTGATTGTGATTACGGTGAAATGCGATGAGCGTGACCTCGTCGCCAGCTTGAGCGTAAAATTCGTACATTGCACATCCCACTCCGTCTTCAAGGGAAACTAAAATCTTTCCCTGTATCTCACTACTGCCAAGGGGCACAATCGGAAGATCATCTGCAACTCGAACTTTCATTATTGCTTCAGATTTGTCAATCTGCAAATAGGTTTATCGTGCTTGGATTTGCAAGACGAAGGGTCTCAAGAGGCCTGGAAGCCACAAGCCATTCCCAGAGGACATTGCGAGTCAAATTTTCGCCAGGCGCGGAAAAGATACAGTAAGCTTGAGTGAAGTTTTATGTTATTCCACGTCACATTGAAAGATTTCTCGCGCGGTCACAACAAGGAAGGCATTTATTGAAAGATAGGTGCCTGGGGTACGGGTACTCAGACAAGGAGCGGGATTATTTCCCCCGGCTTAAGCCATTTCCACCACCTTACCCTCAAAGATCTTAACCAAAAAAAAGGGTAAGTGATCACAATTCATAATTGCCAGGGGTTGCAACCATCCTAAATCATTTTCTTTTTCAGCGAAATACACTCGGGAATCCTATTACAACAACTGCACCTGTAGCATCATGAAGACCGGCATTCGTTGCTGTAAGGGGGCAACAGGTCATCATCGTTAATCTTCTTTCCACGCATGAACCGCTCTGCCCTTCTGTGTAGGTTGTTTAAAGATCGTTATCAAACTATTGTTTGAAATCTTCGTCAGCCTATGAGCAGTACTTGTTCCAAAACTCTCACCTCCTTCTGGGAGTGATCAAGGCTGGTTTTACGAGGGGCTGGTGTGGATGAAGACGAAGCGTTTGTTTCCCCCCCCCTCCCCCCTTCTCCCCACTTCCCCTCAACAACCCACCTCAAGTCCTTTTTGCACTTCTGTCGAGATAAAATTTTAAGTTTTGAACGATCAAACAAACAAAATGAATCAGGAGAAGGCTGTAAAATAGTCTATTCTCAGCTTAGTGAACATGGTATGCTCAAATAACATTGTAAAATGTGTCGTAAAAAATAAGCTGTTTCATAGAAACAATTTTTAATTTTGACACTGAGTGTTGTGGATAAAATCTTCCTCTAAACATCACGAGGTGTTCGCGTGGTTTGAAGTCACGTGACTAGACACAGTAAGGCTTTCAAGATCTTGTTTGACGTAACTGAGTCGTAAACCTTGATTGTTGTTTGACTCTCGGTGGCATCTTCTAAATGTCTTTTGGAAAGCTCTCCTGTATTCATTGTTCCGAAGAGAGTAAATCAGAGGATTCAAAACAGTGTTGGAAAACGTGAGAAATAATAAAATTTCCAAAGTCCGTGCTAAGGAACAACCTGTTGTTTGTCCAGCGAAAATATGCACTAAAGATGCCACCACAATTGGAAGATAGCAGCCCAGGAATGCGCCAATCACAATCGCTGCAGAACCAAAACAAAAAAAAAACACAAAAGTTAGTATTTGAGGCCAAGAGACAGGGATCTTTTTACAGCTTTCAGTGGTTCGGCTATTAAAGAACTACAGGATATTAATATTGATTTTGAGAATAAAAAGTAATTTATCTTACTTGCCTTTAGGCGATAATGACAAGTTTCCATTAGGGTTAACGAGCTCAACGCAATGCCTGTTATGATTATTGCATAATCTGAAGTCCTGATGACTGTAAATATCTGTTGTAACATTCAGTTGTGTGCACCGCACATGAGGTTTAAAACGGGGAGATTAATTTTGGTGGTTTTCCCTTCCTACTTTAATGATATGAAAATTCTGTTCGCAACCCGAATATTCCGTTAATCCTACAGCAAGCACAGTGACAACGAGTTATTTAATGAACGACATTGAAACCTTAATCCACGAATCTCCAGCTAATGACCTTTTAATGCTCGAGGTTTGCAGATGAGTGAATTGCTTGCTAGTAGCTAATGACATCCGCCCTCTTATTTCCCCATTACAGATAATATGACGTTACTCAGAGGATTACGATGTCTTTGAGAGAAACGGTCATTTTCATGCACCCTTAATTTCCATTTGGAGCAAACATCAAACCTTCCGAAGATTTCATGTAATCTACAATGGGCAATTTACAACCGATCTGAAAGGAACGAATGGGGTTTTTTTGTCAAGAAAGCCCCCATACGATGCAGCAAAATGATATCTCGGCTTCCTTTCCCATCTGGTTGCTTCGGGTAGATAGAAAAACAGCTACTTGATTCGACTTCCGAGATATTTTCTGAGTCGACCTTAAGTATCTACGAGGAACCGTGTTTTCGCTGCATAATCTCTGTTATTTTTTCTAAACCTATTGACCCATTAGATACGGAATGATGTAAGATTCTTCAAGCAAAACCCGACCGTGCTCCACATGAAAAAATTTAGACCTGTATAATACAAATTTAATAACAGGCCAAAATAAGTGCAGAGCAAATTATATCATGACAATTGAGGTATTTGACTGAACTGATTGAAGAAAATGATGAGTAGTTTTCAGAATTTCTACTCAACGTAACAGAAACAACAACACCACCAACAGGGGTCTGTGAAGCATGACGCAACATTTTTTCTTTAAGCAGTAAACATGTTGTTGCGGCATACAGCATAGTTTGTATTTTGCACGTGTTCCATTGTTTTTGTTTTTTTCCATTCCATAGATATTGCAAAGTGTACTTTTCTTGTATTATTGCATGTTGGCTATTTAGTAAGTCTCGACGCAGAGTTTTTACTTTTGGTAACGAAAAATAATTTTCAGGCTTTCTTCGGATTTGGAGGACCTTTCTTTTGTATCAAGAAAGCTTTGTTGAAGGATTGATTCTGTGAACCGTTGTGGCTTGCTTTACCTTTTCAGGTCATGTGTTGTGTATCGCAAAGGAACGTATATTTTTAAGTGAAAAAGGGGGTCTTTATGCTCGTTTAGAAGCAGCAGCACCTTGAAGATACCTAACAATTCCTATAATATCAAAACAAAATTCGTGTTTCCGCAAAAATTGTTCACTTTGCTACACTGAGAATTGGTTGACAGACAGAAACTCATTGCTATATTCCAAGAAAGAGATAAAAAAACATGACATGTCACCATGCAATGCAATGCTATGGAATGACCATACGCTTGGTCAAATGGCACTTTTTTTTTTGCCCGACTTAAAACGTGGTTGTCCTACTACTATTGTTATAGGTAACATCCATCACATTTGCACTTACTATAAACATCAATAATCCACGCAGTCAGGTTCAACTGCCCCCCTCGGGTGTTAGGAGAGCCAGCTCACATCAAACCCTTAACCGCGGTTGTTTTCGTCTTTTCGTCTTGTTGATTAGGGAAACTTTGTTATAATATATTTCACTATGGAATGGGAAACATACGCTAGAGAGAAAATAAAGCACAAAACTGGTGCAAGGATTTTAAAGGAGGGCGAAGATTGACTCAGATTTTAGACAACAAACTGGAACTGAGAATTAAGGTTAAATTAGCCAAAATTCACAAGCCGTGACGTAGCTCGGTTAATGATACTCCAACAAGATAAACTTACCTAGCGTTTTGGCCCATTTTCTATCACGTGTTCGGGGAAGACCACGAACATGTGGCACTCTGACTGCCGAGATCACAGCAACACCAACTCTGTTGGCTTGATACCAAGCAACTTTGCTAATTCGACAGTAAGCCCACATCATCACAAGAAGTGGTAGAAAGAAAAGAAAAATTACGTTCACACTCATATGGAAGCGATCCTTTTTGTCAATTTTTTCTATCGAACCTTGGTCCATGCATCCATAGAAGCTGGCATAGCCACGGAGATCCACTAGCGCAGCAGGGAAGATTAGTATAGAAAAAACTGGGATGATCCAGATCGTTAATAAAATCACAGCTGTCCTTGTCGGGGTAACCATGAATCTGTAGCGTAATGGGTAAAATATTGCTATGTATCTGTCCAGGCTTAACGTAAATAAGTGCAAAATGCTGATGTAAAGAAGACAGCCAAATATTCTGCCCATAAGCGTGCACATAATAGGGTTCTTACCAACGTTAAAGTAAGTAAAAATTTGGAAAGTCATAATTTGAACGGAGAGTAAGTCTGACAAGGCCAGGCTTGCTACGGCGTAATTCCGCACTGAGGCTCGTAGTTGTCTGTCTTTAAGAACAATAAAACAGATACTTGTATTCCCCAAAATGTTCATCACGGCGATAAGAACAAGAAAAACGGTTTTGAAGATTGTCGCTGTGAGACCGGATGAGGTTAACATGTTGGATGACTCGGTGGTGACATTCTGTGCCCATATTTCACTTGTCGGCGGATCCATTGTCAAAATATCTGCCACCAAGAACTAATCGAATTTTAATTCAAGGGTAGCTTTCAAATAGCGTGATTAGTAAACCCACAAGTGTAGAGATTCAATCATTGTCCCGGGAGCATCAACGCTCTTCACGTTTGCTTCCAGAATAATCTTAATCTCCCTTCCTTGATCAAGGTCACTTTGCGTTGTTTAGAAATTTCTTGATTCCAAGGTCAGGAAAATGCGACGAGTTGTTATTCTTGTCATTCTTTCGACCCGGGAGGGCTTTATTGCTTTGATTTACTGCCTCGCTGCATTCGAAAAAAATTTTATATATAGTCTACTTACCATTCACGCCTTATCTCTCTTTTGCTTTTGTTTTTAAAGCCCGCTTTGTTTCGCTTGTTTTCGATGTGGTGTGATCCTCTAGAAGCGTTCTATCAGTTTATAATGTCCTAAAATCTAGACTGTTTTCACGGTAATAGTTTTCAAGATAATAATTGCCAAGGTTTCTATGGCAGCGCACTCCAGTCTTCTGAATGCTCTATGAACCCTCAAACCCACAAGATAACAAAATTGAAGACCCCAATAATGGCTTCCGCATGAATCACATCAAAAATATTAGACTTGTTTGAGTCCTCGAAAAAGCGTGAAATTGCTTCCACCACGAGTAGTTACTTGCCTAAGGTAGACATGTCTTCTCTTTAGACAGAATAGGTGCTGTCCGGACGAATTCGTAAGATTCAAAGAGAACTTCCATAGATTATTTGTACCGCTTTCATACTTGTTTAGCGTAGTCTACTTCCCACATGCTGTTTCTAAAATTAGACGATCCCGAGCTGTTTAAAACTATTCGAAACATGTTTTGTTATCATCGAAAGTAATAAATCTTTTAATAAAAGTTCCAAATTTAGAGAAAGCGTAGGCACTTGTACGCCATTGTCCCCAGAGTTAGACACTAGAGATGCCAACAGAGTATAGACGGACAGAAAATATTGTTTACTTGACCTACTTTCCGGTTGGTTAGTTTCAGCACGTGTTTTGCAAAAACTTTGCCCTTGGCTAAACCAGAAACTTTTGGAATTTGCGGAACTATTATAGAAATTGATTACATTCGAAACTGAAATAGCTTTAAAATCTCCGCTTTATTCGCTTGTCATAGAGTTTTACAGTGGTCTTTTTTTTCTCCCATTTCTTTTTTCATTAGTGATGGGAGGGCAGAACTTACATTCAAACTATTCACAGTCATCTTTATTGATGAGTTTTAAAATAGACGTTATTGAAATTCATGATTATGAAGCTGTACTGTGTGACATGCAATTACACGTCTCTTTGATATGGACATACAAATTCTACAAATTCTTGACTGACTTCATTCTTCGTGAAGAGTAACACTTGTTCTTACGTACTTTTAGAAGCGAAAACTTGGAGACGTGTACTTAGGGCTCTTTTGGGGAAGAGAATTGACAAGACCTCACCGCATTCAAGGAGAGGTAAGCTTAAAAACCGTAATACATTTGCCAACCACACTAAGTAAAGCAAGGCAGTATCGACCAATAGAGAGGAAAGCATCCTTGTTAGACAGTGGTCAAACTGTTGTGTAACAAGCTGATTTTAGAAACAATATCAGAGACTATTGCGCCATCGTAAATTCATTAAAGTTTTCCCTGACAAGCATACTAGCGCGCTACATTCGTCATCAAACGACACATGTCAATGCAGGCTGACTGGAGAGGAGAAGCTTCCTTCAAAACTTTTGATATAATTTCCTTCAAAAGTGTCGTACGTAGTAAGGCCTATGTTATCCAGGACAATTTTTCATCCAAGTTTAGTATGTCAGTCTTCTGCAAAAAAAATTGATATTTTTCCCATCGGGTTTCATCGACAAGGATCATCGGTTATCAAGGGAACCCTTTTCGAGGAAACACAGAATCTTTATTTGACAGAACCTGTCCTATAAAAAGATCTTTGCTTGCAATACTGTCATTGTCTTCAAATATTTGACTCAGTGAAACATAGAATAACTCAGAACGAGTCCTTTAGTGCTATTTCAATTCAGAGTCATGCCAAATTCCATACGTTATCGGGAAGTATTGGATAACTACTTGCTTTCCTCGCGTACATATGCCTTTGACTAAAAGGAGCTTAAGGCTAGCTTTTCTTTTTTCGAAAGCGACGAGTGCGACGGGTCCATTTTGGTCACTGTTCCCTTCGTTTTTTTTTTTTTTTTAATATGAGTACTAATAATATTGCCATAAACCATCTAGATAGAGTCTTGTAAACATCCCAGTTAGAAGTCATTTGACTCAATCTTTGTACTCTCACGTCATTAAACTCTCACGGCTTATTTCAATTTTTGATTTCAAAACTTTATTTTCATTAATTTTTAAAACATTGACTTCCTTGAGGGAGACCTCCTCTGCTGGAAGAAATGGGTATTTTAAGTCTGGAGCAAATAAGAAACAATGTCAGTTGATTTGAAGCTTAAGAAGTGCTTCTTCCACTTTGGATCAGATAATGTTTTATGGTTGTTACGGTGCTAAATTTTTTTATGGTCCACTTAAATCGCTTACGTGCCCTTTAGTAGTAATATCTTAAACAATCATTATCTTACTCCTCACCTCGCCTCTCTCGCGTATGCTAAATGATATTGAATAAAAAGGAAAAGTAGCACGTGAAATAAGATATAAAGGACTGATGAAATGATGCGTACCTCTCGCTTGCCTTCGTCCATGGCGGCACTACACAACACTTCTCGACACAGCCGTTAAAGTGAGTACATGGGGTTGAGGGGCAAAAAAAACCTCTAGCGGGCCTTCGCTCCAGTATGTCACGCAGACTTCATTTTGGCCTGTCACGCAACATTTCTAATTTCAATTAACACAGTTTAGTTTTTTTTTTTTAACTCTCACCTCTCACTTTTTGTGTTATTTTATAACAATTTCTTTTTTATTTTTCAAAGCTCTTTTTTTTCCGATCCGTGATCCGATCCGGTCCGATCCAGATTTTGTCAACACCTAACGCGGACTCCACATGTGGGTTGTAATACGACGTGCAAAACCATGTCAGTTGCACCATAGGGGGGTCTCTCTGTCAGTTAGTGCAGGTCAACAAGGAGGTGACACTTGGCGAAATTTTGCTGTTCTCGGCGGAGTTGGGTGCATTATTTTTCTTCGGATCGTTTTGATATGGCTAGTGGTGCAAGTGATGACACATCCATGAAATTTTGGCTTCGGGCGGAATCGAAACCGCACGAACAACGCACTCCACTGACACCAGTCACTTGCAAAAAGCTACTTTCTGCCGGTATGTCTTTTTAAACTTTATTTTACCGTGCACTAAGTCAGTACTAGCGCTTATGAATTTATTGTTGAGTTACTCAATCAATGTTTATTGAATAAACTTGCTGATTAGAGTTTTAGACTCGCTTAACCGTTGGTTTTTTTAGCTTTTGTAAAATAATAGTGGGTGTATCCGTTCAATACTCGCTCGCATGTCCAGTTGTTTATTTTCACTGCACAAGAGAGTCGTGGTTCTCGTTGAATCTCTTTCAAAATGCTTATTTTCGCCAGTCCAAATGAAAAAAAATTACTTTACATGTATTACGTGATTCTTATGAGTGCCACGTTTTCAAGGTACATTTTTTTGCGATTTTTTTTCAATTTTTTAAAACATTCGACTTGATGTGTCGCCATGCTTTCCATAATTCCGGGATGAGTTCACAGCAAGTTTGTAGGCGCCCAGTCTCGATGCCATTTAAAAGAGACGAAAGCAGGTGAATTATATTTTCGAGAAAAGACTTCTTTTGGCGTGAAGGAGACTTTTTAGCTACTACTACAACGTGTATAATAGAGTCTGTTAGCTGTTGATATGTTTACGAAATCATACGAATAATCTGCATACCACGAGTAATGGCTCGAGCGAAACGAGATCACAGTTATGGTTCAGTGATAAAAAAGAATATATTCGCAAGCATAAGATCTCAGCTCTAATTCTGTCAATAAGATAAAACGGCCCGCAAACTTGACCTTGAATATCCATTTTGATTTCTGTTCAATTACGCAAATTAACGATATCCTTGGTAGCTCGAACATAATAGCCGTTTGGATTTCGCGTGAGATCTAATCCCGGTATTGTTCAGCAACTTTAAAGAATGCTTAAAACCGAATTATACTTAATAAAGTTAATCTTGGGCGGAACAAAATTTTTAAGTGCGTTAGCAAAGAACAATTTTGGTTTGATATTCGACTGGTAATCGCTGGTGCGTTAAGAACGAGTGCCGATGTATTTTCCATTTATTAAAATAAAAGAGGTCCACATAACAAAGGAACAGTGACGTTGAAATCCTCCGAAAGCTGTGCGCATCACATGCAAGAGTAGGAATAAAAGGAGATCTTTGTCATGTTTTTCCCAGCCTTGATAAGATTGATCGATAAGATTTACCTGGTCCGAGTAATACAAACAATTTGCAGTTCTTATTAACATTGTTTTGTATTTTGTGTTTAAAGGTCACCAGGTTTTTGTGGAAAAGTCGGAAGACCGAGTTTACAAAGAAGTTGATTATGAAAGGTGGTAGATTGAGATTGAACATTGAAAAATTGAGAAAGTAACATAAAAGTTCTCTAGATTTGGCTAGGTTAAAAGTTTCAAGTTTAGGTTGCAATAGTTACAAGAATGTTTAACCCTTAAACACCCAGGAGTGATTAACATGTCACTTCTCCCTTCAATGTTCATACATTATCCAGCAAACAGGTAATGAGAAGACTCAAACTAATCAAGTGGAAGATGTTACCCTGATCTAACACCAAATGCTTGTGACCAGTTTAGAAGGAAATGTGTAGCATCTAGAAGGGAGAATTTACAATCAGATCTTAGGAGTTAAAGGGTTAAGATTTCTTTCATGTTCTTGGAATCCTAAAGATCTTGAAGCTTTTATAAAATGTGGTGCATGTTTTATCTTTCATATAGGGTTGGTTGTAAAATTGTTGAAGAAGGAAGTTGGACAGATGCTCCTGCAGATGCTTACATAGTGGGGATTAAAGAACTGCCAAACGAGGATCATCCCCTGAAAAATCCTCACATTTACTTTGGCCATGCCTATAAAGTGAGAAGTACATTCTGTTTTGTCTTCTAACTTTGAATCATTTACATGATATCAATGAAAAATGCAACATTTTTTGAATGATTACAGAAGTAGCCACAGAGTTTACCATCGTCCCTTGTTTAACCCACATTCAAGTAATCTTTTATTATCATTGCTTGTTTGAAATCTGTTTGGTAGATGGCTTCCTTTTCTGTATAAATCATTTTTAACATCCTCAGAGAGATCCTTTGTCTGGTAAAGTTGTTTTATTCAAGCTTACTGTTTCCTAATCTTTATAGTTATTAATTAATTTTTTTTAGAGATGTAGTACATAGGAGTAAATGGTTTGTATTCTGGACTTACATTAATGAAGTCTAGATTCAAGCATGAGCTTGGCTGGTTGAATTATACCTTTGAGTAAGAAATGAGATACTATCAAAATAGAAGCCTGTATTCAACCATACAAAGACTATGAATTGGTATCAGGGAAGCTGTTGAAATGCTAGGAGGGGAGTGGGGAAGTGTGAAGGTTTGGCATATGATTCATCCACCTGGGGCATAAGCCAGTTGGTCCATGCAGCTAACTTGACTGGTTATCAGAACTGGGTTTAAGATACTGCAGTGTTTACCTGCATCAGGGCTGTAAGCCATTCTGGAAGTTGTATTTATTCTGATGTAAATTAGTTAAAATCCATTTTGCACTAAGAAGCACTGAAAACAATGAGTGGGTTAACACCTAATACTTCTACCTGAATCTCCAGATAACTTACAGAATTTCTTTATAATTATCAGTTGTTATGTATTTGATTGTTTTCAAATTTGCAGACTACTTTCTGTTCATCATGGGCAGAGGAATGCATGAAACATTACTCAACCCTTTCACTCCCGAGATCTCATTAGTAATTCTCCTTACTAACTGTTGTACAATTTTTATGATTTTAGTTCTGAGAATTTGTTATTGGATCAACTGATAATCCCTTAATTGATATTTCTCTTTATTCCCATCACTTGTCTGCTTAAAATTGTATGGATATAGCAGAGAGAAATTCTCTCTTGATCACTTGTGGATGTTAAAGGGTTAATAACTGTCTTAATAAAACAGAAGCAACCTTTGGTGCCTGCAGCTGTAGAATTATAACAAAAGCTTGGATTTTACAAGTATTACTTGGTTTTCATTGTTCTATGAAATGTGACAGTAAAGTTACTACACATTCTAACAGAATGTTGCAGCCAGAATCCCTTGTTACAACACGATGATTCAAAGAGTCATCGATCATTTCGAAATTAACAATGATGTTTTCTTCTCAGACGTGGCTGTTTGACTTTGTGCTGTCAGGGGACACAGGTTAGCCTGGAACCCTGCTGACTTAATTTCCAGTATTAGACATTGTAGGAATTTTGGGAAAAATTCCTACATATGTGATTAAGTTGGTTTTTCAAAATAAATGCTTTATGAAAATATCCTCGTCTATCCAGAATTTGTACAGGCATCTCTAGATACTTTAAATATTAGGTTCTTTATTGAGAAATTCCTGGGTAAAATTGCATATCTTGTAATGTGTACACATACAAACTTGTGATTATTATGAAAAACCATGACCAGTATTTTGTATAGAATTCTTGGCTGTTAAGGTGGAAATAAATGTTAGGATGGGAATGCTTCTGCAATGGAACTGATTTGTTTGTTTCCATGTTCATTTACATGGACAGTACTTTTAAGTTTTTTAAATTTCTTATACAATAATGATGTATAATGAATGATTATAACATCAGAGAATTTCTTGTCTTTTATAACACAAATCTAACTACACCACTCTCTCAAAACATTCACCTAAAGTCTGATGGAAGTTTTTGGAAATAATTTTTACTTGTTTAAGAGAAAACTAAGATGATTGATTTGAAAAGTGTTGTGGTTTCATTAATTGAAATTTAAAGCACTAGCAGCTTGAAAAGGCAAGTAGACAAAAATATGAATAACAGGAGGTTTAATAAAAAAGACTAGTCATGTTAATGCTGAACTTCAAAAGCTTGTTTGCCTATTGTGGCATCAGGAACTTGTTTGCTGATTCTGTTACTGTGTGTTTTTCAGGGACAGGATGGCTGGAGTGACCTGCTGCAGAGGTTCCATCAAGGTGGTGGTGAACTACTTGATGTTGAGTTTATTGTCAATGACAGTGGTGAGTACTTTAATTTCTAGCTTTAAACAAGTTCCTTGCTTTATGAGATTGTAGTCCACCTCATGTGACCATTCAGTAAGGAAACAAGTTTGAAACAAGTTGCACCTGCAGACAGGAATATTGCAGTCATGGAGATGTCACAAGTGAGAGACTCAGTGGAGGGTTCAAGGTCTGAGAGCTGGCTGGGTTGATGTGTTGTATTCTTGGGCAAAACACTGTAACAGTGCTTCTCTCCACCCAGGGGTATAAATGGGTACCCACTAGTGGTCAGGGAAGCTTGATGAAAAGCAGGGGTTGGTTGGCCTCACACCCAACTTCCCTTCCTTCCATCTTCTAGCCAAGTCAAATTTAGAGAACAAATTGAGTGGCTGCTTGAGTTGATGTATCATTAAATATTAAATCATATGACCACAAGAATATGGTAGAAATGACAATTTGAATGAGAAAAATCCAAACAATTTTGATACCCACCAGTAAAGATAGTCAGAAACTATGATTTGCTAGAGCATGCTGCATTTGCAATCAAGCCAGAGCTCCAACTAATTCACATGGTATCTTAAACCATAACAAGCTTCTCTAGAATGAGGTGACTTATTCAGAACAAAGTGCTGACTGCCTTGTATAATTTGGACTTTGAGAATAGGAGTCAATTCTTTCTGTTATTAACTGGCTGAACAGTTTTTCAAAACAAATGATGTCTGCTGCTTTTCTTTGTAGGTAAACGAGAAGTTGCTGAGTTTGGACCAATGGCAGGAATTGCTGGAGCTGCTCTTGCAATAGCAGTTTGGTGTCACCAGCAACTAAAGTATGGATTTCATTGAAAAAATTGATGAATCGGTCTCTTGGCTTAGCTCTATCAGAAAAATGTAAATAAGTTCTGTTATTTATTTTTCAAAATGGGGTTTGTTATTAGGCTGAATGAGATGTTCCCAAGTGTTACTCCATACATGTCTGAAGATGACATGGTGAACCACTTGAAAAGCCAATTACAGCTGATTGCAAATGAAAGAGGTATGTCCACAATGTAATTATTTTCAAATGAATTATTAATATTTATGGGATTAACCTCCTGGACTGTCTAAATAAAAGCTGACTGTTGTTGGTGAGATGTTATGGGATGAAAAAGGAGGAGATTTCAAAAGAATCTGAAGCTGAGGGGAAAAAAGTTTCTTGAAAAAAAACTAAAACCCTGGACCAGGAAGTAATGCAATGTCTATTGAGTATCATGTCACATTTGGTAGGAGTTCCTGAGATTTACCCAAAGGTGTTGATTATTGGAGGAAGTGGTCGTTGTGGCCAAGGAGCTGCTTACATTTTGGAGAAGACTGGAATTCCAAGGTAAGTTTTTTTTCAATGAAACTGATAATGTGTTACCCCAAGACTTTTCTTTTAACCTTTTAACTCCCAAGATCTGATTGTCAATTCTCCTCTCTAGCTGCTACACATTTCCTTTTAAATTATTACAAGTATTTGGGGTTAGATCAAGAAAACAACTTCTACCTGATATGTTGGAGTATTCTCATTACCTGTTTGCTGGATAATGTATGGATAATATAGGGAGAAGTTTCAGGTTAATCACCTCTGGGACTTGAAGGGTTACCTTCTACTTTTTTCATAACCTTGAACTGTAGCTTTTGAAACTTCTTTCCCCTCCCTCTACCCATAATATTTTGAGTACCCCCTTGTGAGGTAGTTCAGGGGTGTTTTCTGAGACAGTGTATCAAGGAACAACAGTGCAAGTGTATTCAGATGTGATAAGTTATCAGTTGTTATTTTATGTTTGAAGCAAAAACATTGTCAAGTGGACAAGACAGGAGACACAAGGTGGTGGACCTTTCCCTGCCATCTTGAGTTATGACATCTTTGTCAACTGCATCTTCTTGTCAAAGGTAATGATTGAAACTTCATTTTGATTGAAAGTGTTTTAAATAATGTAGTGTCTCTTATAATAGTCTTGAATTTTTCTTTGACAGAAAATCCCTCCATTCTTGACAAAGGAAATGTTCCATAACAACACCAGGTATTCTGAGAAAAACATTGTTGTCAGTTAGTTGATTCTTCTCATTTCAAGTTCTGTTGCTTTGTTATTTTTCCAGTTTAACCTACCTGTATGTTTCTGGTTGTTTTAGAAACTTAACAGTTATTTCTGATGTGAGTTGTGATTGTACCAGTCCTGATAATCCACTACCAATCTATGACACTATTACTACCTTTGTGAAACCAACACATCGGCTTGATATGAGGTGGGGAAAATAATTTGAATTGCATAAATTATTTTACCAATAGTGAGAGGCTGTGAGAGTTGATAGACCATTCCCAAGCTCTAAAACCCTTCATTTCATAATGAGGCTAAGTGCATGACCTTTTATGTCCACAGGGTTGTATTTACATGAGAACAAGAAGTTATTTTCTTATCATAAAATGTGTACTTAAACCCTCATTTTAAAACAAGGGACCAGTTCATCTCAAAAATTGCCCTGAAATAACTATTCCTTTGCCTATTACAATGTATTCACTTTGGCTCTCAATGATATCTTAAGTTGTTCAAAATCTTTAAACTTTAATTCACTTTCCAATAATTTATGTCTTTACAGCCCAAGCACCAAACTATTGGATGTCATTGCAATTGATCATCTTCCATCCCTTTTACCAAAGGATAGCAGTGATAAATATGCTGCTAAACTTCTTCCTTTCCTTTTGAAACTTCCTGAGGTATGTCAGTGGATAAATAAGGGAAATTGTTTGCAAAGTGTTGGTTACAGATTGAAGAAGTATCCTTCGGAAACCATGATTTTTATCTCTGCCATTTGTAATTGTGGTACTGACTAAAATTTTAGATTGATTTCAAACAATTAATCCAACTGCAGATGTACCAAAGATTTGACAAGATGCAGCTATTTTCTGAAATAACTGTATTTTTCAAAATAGCTTTTTTAACAATTAAATTTGTTACTAAGCAACCAGGTAGCTGTATGTGACCTGAAAGACTTCAACTCAGAACCAGAGTGGGAACAAAATTAAGACACAGAGGCTGAGAACTAGTTTAGCAGCATTTGTTACATTGCATCTTGTAGTACCCCTTACTAACGGCCAAGTTACTGGGTTGTTCTCCAGAATGGAGGCTTTCTTATTTTGCATTTCCAATGTATTGGTGGGCAATTATTGTCAAAAGAGTTAGTTTCACTTCAGAATCTCTGCAAGAACTAAATGTTTATGTGTACTCCTTTAACAAGAAATGTGCCACAAATGTACCAAGATCATACTTGGAATTAAATACTTGGAATTAAATAGGAAAGCGACCCTGACAGTATTGTCCTAGGTTGTTGTTACCCTGTTTTTCTTTTACCATAAACTGGGCAAGAAGCCTTTGGGTATTATTTTAGTGAAACCAAGGTTCTGATTTGCTGCTTGAACTCATTTTTAGGCATCCACTTATCCTCCATGGGTCAGAGTCAAGAATATCTACAGAGACAAATTGAAGGAAGCTCTGGCAGGGATTGAAATGCGAACCAGGAAGGAATCTGTAGCAAGAGATGAAGCAGAATTGTCCTCCTCATCGGAGTTTGAAAGTGAATGAAAGACACTTATCTAAGGGTGGTTCTACAATTTGATATCTAGTCCACCAAATTTTATAATTTGATATGTAGTCCACCATATTTCAGATGCCACTTAATATTCTGCAAGATGTTAATTTTTTTTTTTTATAGAAATGGACTGATTCTAATTCATACTGGAACTTGATAAGGAAAAACGTTGAGATGATTTTTTGATCCCATCCAGTTAAAAACACTTCATATCTCATTTTGACCTCTGGCACAATGATTACCAGCAAATCAGTTCCATGGTGGGCTGTTTGAGTCACTTGATTGAAGAATCAGTGTTTCATACTTTAGTATTCAGTTTTTTTCCTAAGGGAAGTTTCTATCATGGATTTGAGGTGGTGTAGTAGTAGTAGTAGATTCACCCAAAAGCAGGACTTCTCACATTCTCTATCATATATACTGAACTTATAATGTTGGGGCAAAATTGTATGGTTCACTTTGAAGGTCTCTTGCGACTCTATGTAATAAGCCTTAATAATCCTTGGGATTTCATGGTACCGGTGTTTAATATGCAGTTGTATACACTGACACTTGTGTTAAGTTTTTGTAAGCTTTCTGATTTCTAGTTGTAATTGTTTTTGGCTCTTAGTAAACTGACATAACAGAACATTGACCTTTAATCACTTCGGCCGATCATTGACAGAAAAAAGCTTTGCAAACATACAACTTTGAAAATAATTTGCGACGCTTTTTTGGCTCTGCATCTCGCACAACAACGAGAAAGATTGAGACCTCGCGAAACAACGTGCCCCTTGAAGGACCTGCTACAGGGTTGGCCAATCCTAGCATTATTGGGACGCAGTACTAGCAAAGCCGCGTATTTTTTTATTGGAAGTAAAATCATCACAAAACCATACAACATTGAATAGCTTTTTAGTTGAACAATAAGGAGCCATTTAACCCTTAATTTGGCGGCCCGAAAAGCACCCTTGACCCTTTAACCCTAAGAGTGATTAACATCCAATTTCTCCGTACACTATCATCCCTGAAACACACTTAGGTCAGGAGAATAAATGAAACGATCATAAACTAGAGAAGCTCTTGATTTTTAAAGAAATTCACGTTGTTAACACCTTAAGAAATGCATAGAGAACCGTATGGGAAATATGCACAAGAATGTCAGGGTGTAAAAGTTAAAGAATCTTGTTTTCAGGAAAAACTTAATCTTTTTACCCAGAGCCCCTTTCTTGAGCTCGATTTCTGCCGTTTTTTGAGTCCCATCTTCGATTCTCCCGAGATGGATTTCTGGGGCGAGCGCAGGCTCATTCCCGAGTAGTGGCTATGAATTGTGCCCACGTGCACCCCACTCCCTAAGCCAACCCCTTTCTTCGCTTCGCTTTAGGAAATCATTATACATTCGAACACGGACTTCGAATCGTAACGGACTCTTCTTTGTACTAATTTAACAATAGTTTGTCTGCCTTGCATTTCAGAGGCAATTCGTTGAGCTTACTGCTTTCGTAATCTTTGCACCGTTTTCTAGAGAAAGAATTCAAACGAACTAGACTCAATCAAACTGTTTTATTCCACTCTCGTATTCGCTTAAGTACAACAGGTGTGTAAAAAGCTACTCGTGCAAAATTTGTAAGAAATCACTTTCTTATACGATATTCTCTACATTGCGATTGGTTGTTGTATTGCTGATTTAAAAGGTCATTCAAGGTTGCGTTGATCATGTAAACCGATCAATGTCCCAAAATCACTTAGGGCGGTGCTTCTAGCTCTTGACATAATGTTCACACTCATTATCTGACATGTGTCACGCACGAATCGCAAAGTCTCCGACTCTGCTGTGTTATATGTGTTGTTTTGGAGTGTGATTCAGGTTGATTTTTACTGTCCCCTTAATATGTGCCCAAACTCCTGAGACTAATATATTTTCCAACGATTTCATCGTAAACGCGTCCTTTAACTGAAAAAGTAAACTTTTCTGAGCGTCTCCTATCTCGAAACAATACATCTAAAACAGAATTTTAAAGGCTTTTAGTGAATCAAAACTCCCACCTTATTTTACCATTCGTAAAAGTAAACCCCCGCCCCACCGCCCCTGTACTGTGTCCTTATACTACCCCTCCCTTGATGTGATTGGTTTTAAATCTGGCAGAGACAGTCGGTGATAATCGTTACTGTGCTAGATATTTCTTTTGTAACGAACAGTAAAGAGGAGTTGCAGTATTTTTAGGAATATAATGAGTAGTTTTAATGTTCATCACATTTGGCTTCGCGCGGAGACAAAACCAAATGAGCAGCGGAGAGCTTTGACCCCCGATAAATGCCGGGAGTTAATCGAAAAAGGTAAACTTGAAGGTTAGCTTAGTACTTAGCGAATGATGTGATACTTGTCCATAGGACACAAGCTAGTGTATTTCGAGGAGTTCTTAAAGGCTATTTATTTCTCCTTCCCTCGTTAGAAATGTATGGAAGTATTAGATTAAGCCTATATTAATATTTTGGTCGATTTCTGAGTAAACAGTCGCTCTTTGCTTGCAAGAGCGCTATGATGAATAGAAACTAGACAAGTTTGTGTTGGGATAAACTTTGGCTTCTTAAGATGGCCGATGGAATACCTGAACCAAGGACTCTATCTTTGAGCCCATAATTTCAAGTTTGACCACTGCATGGCAGAGGTCGTCAGAACCTATTTCCAAAAATTATCACCTCGGTTCTTGAACGCCCCACAGTGGAAAGGTCAAATTTTGACATTTTCCCTGCCGTGCAACCTCTTCTTGCATGAAAGGAGAACTACTCCGGAGCTGACAAATTAAGGTCCCGCCTAACCTGTTTTTCAGACTCTGTCATGGAAAGGCCCTCTAATCAGAAAATGCTATTTAATTGCAACTGCTCGGGTGTTCTACCCATTTTTATTTCCTCACTAAGAGCCAGGATCTGATAGTCAAGAGTGAGTTAATTATCCAACTTTTTTTTTCTAGGTTTTCAAGTTTCTGTAGAATATTCTGACCAGTCTGCCTTCAAAAATGAAGAGTATCAGTGGTAACATGCATGCTATTTTTTTGGTCTACAGTTTTTCAGGGTGAAAAGCACTTTTGTTATCAGTCATGTGTAAGTTAATTTGAGGCTGATTTTCACATTTTTTTTTTTCATAGCATACCAGGAATCAATATGGTCCAAGCTGGATCATGGGTCAATGCTCCGAGTGATGCTATAATTTTGGGGCTGAAGGAGCTTCCCCATTCACATGATCCAGTATCTCATAGACACATTTACTTTGCTCATGCTTATAAGGTAATGTTACCAAGCATTTAGCTTTAACAAAGTGGAGCAACATCCAGATGTGGTAGAACAAACACTTTGCATAATGACTACATAACTCTTAAAGGGGATTAAGGGCCTAATTCTTCGTAGGGTAGCTATCTTTGCATATATCTTTTTTAAAATAGTTTTGAAGTGAGGCTTAAAAGAAAGGTCTAGATTCAGTGTAACACCTAAGATTTTAAAAGTTGGCTGAACATCAGTAGTTTCATATGTGATTAGGGGATTGTGGGCGTGATGGGGTTTGCTCAATGACTTTCAAATAGTTGGTAATAAACCACCTAGTCAAGTCTGTTATACTTTGAGTCACAGTTGATTGGAACTTCAGGTGGATGTTCTTGGGAAGTGGGTTGAGTCATGTCATCAGGATATAGCTGTAAGGAGGATGTTACTGTTGAGGAGTTGATTTTATTCAAATTTTCAATAAGGGCTACGAGTCCTCAGTTTCTATGTTTGCTATGAATGATCAACTAAAAAGGATCGAACTAAAAATGAAGGAATGGTAAAGGGCTAGCTTTGTTGGCTCAGTTGAGTTGCAGTCAGCTGAGCATGTTGCTAGCAGAAAACTATCATACATAAATTTCCTTCTGAGTTGAAAACAAACCTTTTAAGTAGCAAAAGGCCTAAAAGGCTCTCTTGTAGAACACCACAGTGGGTTGGCAGTCTGTCTGAAACATTCCATTGCACTTGAAATGAAGACTTAGGTAGTTTGTGCAATCTATTTTGTCTTGGGTGCAAACTAATTTACACAGAACACATTTCAATGATCATTTACAGTTGCAGTTAAGAATGACCAAAAAAGCTTAATTTTTTTGTTTGATGCAAGAAATTGACTTCATTTAATTCTCTTTATAATTAATATTGAGAAGGTTTTATATTGAAATTGGATATTGGTCCTGAAACCTTTTTATGCCTGCTTCATTTACCAAACAGGATAGAGATACTTTGTTGAGTGTAATGATGAGATATCTGTAAGAGAGGGTGATAGCTCATGACACATAATTATCAGTTTCCCAAAATCCCTCATATTTGTCTCACAGAATCAGACAGGTTGGGCAACATTACTCCATCGTTTTATTAAGGGAGGAGGCAGCATTTTAGACATTGAATTCATGACAGATGAAAATGGTGAGTTGAACATCATCAAGCCCTTTTGAGGACCCTTTCATTTTGTGTACAATCTCTTGAGCTTTGGTACTGCACTTGCACCAATATTATTTGTTCACCAGCCCCCTTCGTATTTTCCTACCTTAGGTTATTTCTATTTATTCAATGCTCAAATGTTCCTATTTTCCTGTACCAATTCTAGCATTCGAAACATTTAAAATCTTTCAGGTTCTTGTTCAAGAAAGGTTATGATCACTTTAGAAAAGACATAGAATTCTTGAAAATCAATAATTTATTGCAAGAAGAGGGATGGAGAAGGGAGAAAATTTAAGTGAATTCAGAAAGGTTCTTGTGATTGGAATATCAATTGATACCTTTTGCTCCATTTGTCTTGGAAGACTCCTTGGGATTTTCTTGCTTTTTCCCCCGTAATTGCATATAAATTTTGTGAAGTCAAGATGATTTAAAGTTTGAATTATTGTTTTTTAAGGTAGAAGAGTTGTGGCAGAATTTAGTGGAATGGCTGGACTTGGTGGAATGGGACTAGGAATACTTGCTTGGTGCCATCAACAGTTGAGGTATGAGGTACAAAAGGTAATCTAGTCTTAAAAGATAACTTTTTAAAGGTCATGTTTAAGTTTACTTTCATTATCAACAGTCCTGATAAGCCAATGGGTGAGGTGAAACCATATGGTAATGAAGCTGCTTTCATTGATCACATTACACTACAAATCAAACAAGTTGCTGAATTAAAAGGTATTTATAGTGTGAATAAACAGTCATCCCTCTTCACACCTCAATTCTGATTCTCTACAGAAAATGAGCTAAAAAATTGGTGGTGCCATCCACTTATGTGAAAGAATTCAATAGTGTTTATAACCATCAGTTAAATGAGGATCCAGGTTGTTTTACTTTTTAGGTCATTGGTTGGAACAAAGTTGGTGACAAGTTGGAGCAACTGGTATCTGTTGCAGACTGCTTTATGTGTTCTGCTTCCTAAACACACCACTGTAGTTCATTCTACTGGAATTACAGATCATGTTTTATTTCTCTTAGGAGGAGTAAAAATGTTGAACTTATTACATTGATACTTCAGATAACATATACTCAGGTGACCTCTTGCTCATCGAATGTACCACCCAATTTGGAAGGTTATCAAATATATTGTTGCCAGATTAAGTGTGTGAAGAGGGATATGTCTGTTTGTGTTGTTGTAAGTCTACATTCCAAGCAAAATTAAGCACACATGCTTCACCTTGGATAAAAAGAATATTGTTGTATGATTGCTTGTCATTCTTCATAATAGGTGTCCAAAAAGTTTTCCCTCGAATTATGGTGATTGGTGCCTTGGGTCGCTGTGGAAGAGGAGCATTAGAGATTGCCTATAAACTGGGTATTCCAAAGTGAGATCTTGATTTAATATTACATTACAGAATATTGTCAATAAGCTCCAAGCAGTTGGATAATGAACAACTTATTAGATTTTTTGTTGTATAGTATTGGTGGGCATGTTTGTAGTTTGACTGGCCCTGTGGGCACAACTCATAAGAATTCTTAGCAATACTGCACACCAAAATGTCCATTATATATATACTATAGGGTTATTACCACATTACACCAATAGTCAAATGAATAACCCTAGACCTAAATGCATAATGGAATGAATGAGTATTAGATTCATAGAAATGCAACCATGATTAATTCTTTATGAATTTGTTGGATTGCTAGCCAAGATTATTTTCAAGGGATGATTTTGAGTTAACTGTTAAAGTTAGTGATGTAATGAAAGATAAATGAACATTGAGTTTGATCTGCAAAAACATTAAGAATCTGATTATTCCCACTATGGATCTCACTGGCAGGTCTTCTATAGCAGAATGGGACTTGGAAGAAACAAAGGCTGGAGGACCATTTGATGAGATACTAAACAATGATATACTTGTTAACTGTATACTTCTCACTGAGGTATGGCTGATTAAATGCAATTCAAAGAAACATTCACACAAAAACAGATGTGTTTCTGAAGTAAATGATATTTTGACTTATTGTTAAGGTTTATAAAGAGATAAGTTTGTTCTTCAAAGGTTAGCTGAATTGTAAGTCATTTCTGGAAGAAAAGTCTGAAAATTTTTAGATGGGAAGTGAACTTTTGCCCCTGAGATACTCATTGGGTGTGATTATCTACTGAGCTAGGAAGCTACACATGTAAAATAGGCCATTTTACAGTTGTGTACTTAGTTGCCAAGCCGTTGATTTGGAGTGAGGCTGAAGGTGACTTTGTTGTGATAGAGACCAGTATCTAGTTAGCATGATAACAAAGTAATTTGCATTTGAAAAGCAACTAGGTTTGTATCATAACAAGGTCAACCTTAGCCTCACTCCTGCTCAAAGGCTTGGCAACCAAGCACACAACTGTGCTCCCAACTTGTATATTTTAATAGCTCAAGTGGTGGTGGTATCCAGTTAGTGTCATGCAGTTAGGCAAAGGTTTCCTTTCTTTCATTGTAGTTAGTAATTCATTTGAAAAGAAAGCCCTGATGAGATGCTGATCATAACAATGTACTTTAAAAGCAAGCTTATTTCTTGTAAAATTGTCTTTTTTTTTTTCTAAAACTACATCACACTGTATTTTTCTGGCACATCTTGTCAAGTTTTAGAAAAGACTCATTTTAACATAAATGTTGTCACCAGTATTTTTGAAAATGTTAGCTCTCAGTCCAAGCTTCAACAAGTGGTCAGATTACTCCAGGTTATATAGATAAATTTTTCCAGATATTGATTGTTGGATATGAGTATACCTGCTGAAATATTTCTTTGCAAGTGTTTTATAGAGAGGATCAGAATTATGACAATTATAGTACTTGTGAAATTGGGAATAAGAAATTTTGTAAAAGAAACTTTGCAATTTCTTCTCTAGGAAATTCCACCATTTCTCACAAAGGAAATGTTAGAGAGAGCAAATAGGTAGTATATGCTTTTGCCTCTTTGTATGAGATGTAGGCCTCAATCTGGGATGGTTTATCTTATTACTGAACTATTCTTTTATTTTTTTGTTAGCCCATGCACAGGTAATCTTTTTCCATTTTCATGATAAACCCTTGACACTCAAATGTTGGTGTGCATATTTTCCATAATATATTAATATAATATATTTATAATATAATATTATTTTCCTTAATATACTTTCCCTAAGGTGCAGACAAAGAGAATTTATTTAACAATCAAAAGCTGCTGAAGTTAGTGATCATTTCCTTATGATAATGTGAGGAGAAATTGGACAGTCAGGCAGCTTGGTACCCATTTATAATCCTGGGTGGAGAGAGGAATGGTGGGATTTAAGTACATGTTTTCATCAAAACACAACTGTCACAGCCAGATCAAATCTTGACCTGGAATCCTGCATACTAGCCATTGAGCCACTATGTCTCGTTAAAGCAATTCACAGTATTATTTTATTTCCAGGAACCTGAGTGTGGTGGTTGATGTTAGTTGTGATCCCAATAATCCATACAATCCTTTGCCTTTCTATAATTCGATAACGTCATTTGATAAGCCCTGTGGCAGAATAAGGTTAAGGTAGGTTGTCAAAACCTTATTCTTTTTTTGTATAACATGGACACGTGCCAAAAAAAAAAAGAAAAGGCAGTAAGATTTCAGGCCTTTTTTTCCAATTGAAACAGTGGTTTTTCAGAATGTTATTTTGTCTTATTGGGAGAAACATAGATCTAGATTGCTTTTTCAGGTACACTTTGTACTTGGCTGTAAATAATTAGCTCTTGCTGGAAAATTGAAACATTTCTCAATGTAAAATTAGACTATCTGCAGTAATTTTAACATTGGGTTATGATGATCTTTTCAAATACTTTGCCATCTGTGTTGTCTCTATGCCATACACTGATTGGCTCAGTTGAAAGTTTTTGGAATCATGTTTCTTTCTGTTAATGAGATTGGTGTGTAAGTGACCTCAGTAACTGTTATTGCATTGTTAAAGCTTTACAATTTTGCAGTTCCTTCTCTGTTAATTTTTTTACATTATTTTCTTTTCAGATGTGCTAAGCCACTTGATGTGATAGCTATAGATCACTTGCCTTCTGTTTTACCTCGTGAAAGTAGTCAGAGATTTGTCAATAAGATGACTCCTTATTTGCTGAAATTAGGTGATGTAAGTATATACAATAACTCAGTGTTGATGTTGTCAGTGATTTAAGGTTGTAACAAATCGATACTAGGTAGAATGCTCGTATCCCCTCCTGATACCACCCCTCTAGAATTCCAGTTTTGCTTCAGAAACGCCCCCACTCCCCCCTGCCTTCCTCCTCTGGAATTTTCAATAACTTCTCTTAAGGGTGATGTTGCTATTTCCTTTCACTAAACAATAATTACCAGCAGATTTATTTAAAGCACAAATCTTTAATTGAATTGTAGGATCCTGTATGGAACAGAACCAAGAAAATGTTTGACCAAAAAGCTGCAGAAGCAAAAGCACTTATTGATTCTGGTGTGCTCCATTAAAATTTAAGGAATCTTGACAAGATAGAAATGGATTGATCTGGAAGCAAAATGGGAGTAAGGAGTGGTTAGTTAGATCATTTTAAATCTTCAGAGGTTTTAAATTTCCAATTCTTATTCATAAATTATATATTGCCTAATATGCCTTACAAATGTGGGGATTGTGAGAATGATTCTTAAGGCAGAATTATTATCAAGTAACCTTTCTGACTTTCATTTCTCTAAACTTCTACTAAAATATTAGAAATTATTTTACAATTTTAAAATCACCTGTCTTTTAAATTTGATTTTTAGCAGCCTAGGTGTACTAATGTTAAGAGGTGACATGATTAACTTCCTGGTGCATGCAATTGTTTAGACTGACAATGGTCTTGTAATCTTTTCGTGTCATAAAGCATCTTTATTCATAACTGATTGAGTGAAATTTAAGAACTGCAGAGTAGTTTGTTTCCCATTATATCAAATTAATTTCATCAGTTATGTGGCTGGACCATGCAGCTGGGTTCAGGTGAATTTTTATCATTTGATTTGAGCATAAGCTCTTAGCTGCTGATATCAACAGCCTATTTGTACATTATTAATATCTTATCTGAAAAAAATTGTATTTATTACTGATGGAGGACCTCTTTTCTAGTAAGGGAATATTTTTATACTCATGCAGTGTATATTGAATTATTAAGCTACTGCAGAAGCTTATATTGAGTCAGACTTCTATTTGAATTTTACAGTATCCTAAATCACAAAGAAGTACTCAAACACTGAAATTCTATCAAATTTGAAATTTCAGGTATACATAAGTGCATAAATGGAGATCTTAGTCAAATTATTATTTTATTTTTTTAACTTAAATTGAAAAATAATGAAGGCTCAGAAAAAGGGGGTTTGAGGTTTTGTTTATCTACAAATGACAAACAATAATAACAAAAACAACAAAAAAAAGTGGTTTTGAATGAAATGTGATTCTGTATTTTTTTTTCACTTGTGCTGACACCTCTTTTATTTCAAGTTAATTTCTCAGTTTTTACATGTTCACACATTCACTCTGAGTTCTGTTTATGTCTATATGTCTTGGCAATGCAAAAATAAAAAGGTTAAAACTTTAAAAATGTCCCAACTACCCTAATTGCTTCCAGCATAGGACAAGTGATGGATTGCAAATACGTGAAAACGGGAATCTAAACATGTGACACTAATAAGCCAAAGAGGGCTTGTAACAAAAATGTATGTTTGATGTTTTCCTTATACCTTACTGGCGGTTGTTTGAAACCAGTTTATTTCACAGAATATTCCACTCTTTTGTCTCAGAGGTGAATGTATTTTTATGTGTGTTGAGTAACATATGCACAAGCTGACATTGGCAATTGTTACAGAGGAATTTTGTCTCCGAAAAAAAAAATAGATAAAAAATAGAAAACTGATATCTAATGGTTTTGTCACAAGGCTATTTTGTTTAGGGTATTGAGAAAATCAATTAAATCTAACAGCAGTTGTCTTGAATTCCAAGGTTTTTTATTTAGCTTTTCAAACCATTCTCTTAGTAAATTGTCAGCCTCATCATTTCCAGTTAAAAGGTGACTTTCAAAAATAGGTAATGAGCTTAATTCATACCTTGGCTTGTGAGAATCGGGGGTGAAAAAGAACTTGTCTCCCTGTTCAGAATGATAAAATGGACTTAAATTTGTAACATTTTCTATGTAAAGAGTTCCTGGAAAGCAGTGCATAGAAATGGCAGCATCATAACTTGATTCATCATCAGAAATCATGCATTCCTGTAGAATAAAAAAGATTTCTAAAACTCGAACTGGAACCATGCTGTCTGTCCAATGGGAGTCTTCTTTGTAGTTCTTGAACATAAACAGGAGTATGTTTTTTAGGTGGTAAGATCTAACAAGCCGGTGACAGCATCTTTTGCATCCAAAGATTTTACTCAGCTTTGGAAGGAAAGCTGACAGGATGCATTTTGCAATGCAGTAGGCTTTAATACGCCCATCTTTTGGTGGGCGGGACTGAAAATAAGAGAGCTCCAGGTATGGAGCAGTGATTCTTGTAGAAATGGCTTGAAAAGCATTGTCTTCCTTACCAAGAATTGCATACAATTTTAGTGGAGATTGCTCCACGATGCTAGTAATGTATCTAAACAACAACGCTTGAACAGTGAAGTAGTCGGTGAAATATGGACTTGCATCATCTGGAATGGACAGAGCCCCTTTAAAATCATCAGCCCTTATTGGCACACACAGACACAAGTCAATGTCTACGTCTAAGCTGACCTTGTCGCAGGTCAAATGCATTGTTGTAGCGATACCAGACCAACATAGTGTTTCACTACCAGTTGTGACGCGTTTCCAACCCGGTGGTAAGCGTGAATCAAATATCTTTATGAACATTTCCATAAACTTAGAACGCAGAGAGAAATCGAGGACATCAATCGTCCCTGAACGAACCAGGCATTCAGACGGAAGCAAACCCACAACTGCTGGGTCCTTCACGAATATCCTAACTGAATCCTTTCTGACAACTGTTTGAAAGAATTCCGTGTTGGCAAAATACTCCATGACAATGAGGAAGTCAAACTCATCAGGGGCCTCTATTTTCGTTTTCTCAGCTACACTTCCGGCTTGAACAAGTTGACATTTTTCGAAGCATTTGTAAGACTTTCCAAGCTCGTCTAAGCTGTCTTTCAACGTAGTTGTTATTTCATGTAATATTTGGGAACTTCTTCGTTCATTATGAATGTCCAGTTGGTGAGGAAAACTTTGGAGAAATGAATTCAGCACCGGACCAACTGAAACTGGAATTTTGTGCACTGAAGAAGCTTTTGTGTCGGTATGTTCTTTGGTGTTATCTGCGAATCCCCATTTTTCATATGGCCAATCAGGGATTCTCACGTTTAAAGGATAGACCTCGCTTTGTAACTCAGACTCCTCTTTCGACGCCATTTCACAAACAGACCAAGGAGAGAGAAAAGCAACTTGAGGAGAGCACGTCCTTTGTATTTCGTCTTGTCACGCAATAGCCTTGATCTCTAAGCGAGCGTTGCATGACCGGAGGGGGGAAAACAAATTGGCATACCGAAGTCACGAACGTGATTCTTTACCTCTAACCCAAAGGTATGCGAAACCAACTTGAAAATATTTCAACGCCTTTGTTTTAATAAAAAGTAGTATTCTGGCAAGGAGAGGATGATCACAATGATCTTTCAGGAGCTTGGCCCCCTTCGGAACTAACAAGTTTTGAATCAGAAGCTACCTGTGGAAGGAGTCAGTGATCTTTGAGCTGCAGTCTTTTTAAGGCGTAAGCACTAAAACATGGAACGACCTAAAACCACCTACAACCATCTACAACCACCTCAAAAATTTCAACAACCACCGTAAACCACCTCAAAAACATCTACGGCGAGACGACAACATGCCTCGTACATGAAATACGAGAATCAAACGACACTTCCACTTCCCCCTGAAATCTTACTCTCCCTGGTCCCATGTATAATCAACCATCTCACGAAATGAAATGCGATAGCATGCTAATTATTTTATATTCACTCAGGAGCAAAAGACTTTTACAAAATTAACTATCAATTTACAAAAAATAATAAAGTAAAATAACAAACTGGTAGTTAAGACTGACTTGACTTGGCTTTTTCTACCCTGGGTACCAGCAGACGTTTTGGCTTACGTCTAGAAAAAGTATGAGTAACAATGGTCATTAAAAATATTTTAAGCGAACTGTGCGTACCTTCGGATCTTTCTTTGGCACGAACGCCATCATGCTGGCATTCATACAGCATGCAGTTGTACGAGTGGCGCCACTTACGCAATAGTGACTCGCGTTTGCTCCAATTACATTTCCAGTGCTGAGATTAAACATGGAGAAAAACACTACCTTGGACCATTACGTCAAATGAAACGAGAGCCAAAACGTTTGCTTGTAAAGTTCTTTAAGTCTTTTACTATTTAGGTAATAAAAACTATAATTGGCTTGCTCTCGCATTTCATTTCGTGAGATGGTTGATTATACATGGGACCAGGAAGAGTAAGAATTCAGGGGGAGGTGGGGATTTTGTTCGATTCTCGTATTTCATGTACGTGACATGTTGTCGTTTCGCCTTATTTTTGACATTTATGCCTTGTTTTAGATGGTTTTTCAGATAGTTTGCGAGTGGCTGTAGATGTTTTTGAGGTGGTTGTAGGTGGTTGTTGAAATTTTTGAGGTAGTTGTAGATGGTTGCAGGTGGTTGTTGGTGGTTGTAGGTGGTTTTAGGTGGTTTCAGGTGGTTTCAGGTGGTTTTAGGTCGTTCCATGTTTTAGTACTTACCCTTTTTAAGGAGCCTAAGGAAAAATTTCTCAAGAAAATTGGGCGAAGTATAACAGCAAGGCATTCATCGGGGCATTCACTACTTAGGTCGTTTTCTTGATCTAGTCTTTACTTGTGTTAGTATGTGTTGACACGGGAGTGGAACTGTCAACCTTGAACGTGCAAGTAGTCATGGCTGTACATCTGTGGCTTCGAGCAGAGAAGAAACCGAACGAGAGGCGAACTCACCTAACTCCAGAGAAATGCAAAGAGCTGGTGAAGGCAGGTGAGTCTTAGCAGTTTTCTTCCACTTTTTTTCGATGGATAATTTTGGCCTTTGGTACTTAATGTTTGAAACTAGAGGTTAACCTCGCAATTTGTAATTATGTAGAATTACACAGCTCATCTGCAGGTATCCAGTCGTTTCGTACCCATGGATCTTTCGTACCCAGGCTCAGACGTTTCGTACCCACTTTCAATCAGTTCGTACCCAACCCTCTGGTTGATTCGTACCCAACAAATTATGACACAAAATGTTTAAAACAAACATAAACATTTATTTCATTTTTCCTAGTAATCGCCGGGGGTGGGGATGGGGGTGGGGTGGGGGAAGGGGTCATGGTGATGGAGCAAGTCTGGGTATAAGACAACACCTGAGTGAAATATTGTAAATATTATACTGTGACCCAACACTACTTTACCTTTTTGGTCAAGGTTTTAAATTGACTGTGGAACTCTCAGAGCAGCGCATATTCAAGGATGAGGAATATGCAAGGTAAATAAATGTGAACATGACCATCATTTAATTTCGTTTTTGTAGAAAAAAATAACATGGCAAGAGAATGTTTTAAAAAACATTGTGTTTTTTACTCTAATTGTTTAATTGCTGTTAATTTTACAAACTTCTTGAATACAGTATTTCTGGTGTGGAGATGGCCTCAACTGGTTCTTGGCCAAGTGCTCCTAAAGAGGCCTTTATTGTCGGGTTGAAAGAACTCCCTGAGAGTAAGGACCCTGTCATTCATAGGCACATCTTTTATGCCCATGCTTATAAGGTGGGACCTTGGCTATTCTATATGAGAATTAAACCCTTCATACTCCAACATCAGTATATGTGTTCTTGATACTGTTATCTATACATTTCCTACAAGCAAAACATGAAGAATTTGTTTAACAATCAAGAGCCTCTTGAGATGGAAACTGTTTACTGTTTGTTCTCATGACTTTGATATACTGTTAGGAGAAATGAGATGCTGGTCACAATTTGTAGTAATTGTAACACCAATTCTATCATAGACCAATGAGCTCCCTCACAGATCAGAATTTTGGAAAGTTTTCCTGGTGTTTAAAAGTGTTTGATTTTTCCCTTTATTTCCATATAGAACCAAACAGGGTGGGCAGAACTACTTCACAGATTTGTGAAAGGAGGAGGTAGCATCTTTGACATTGAATTTATGACGGATGACAATGGTAAGATAATAGAACATACATATTAACCCTTTACACCCTAACATCAATATACATATTCTCCATACTGTTCTCTACACATTTCCTAATGTGCTGACAAAGAGAATTTATTTAAAAATCAAGAGCTTTTTAGGTTGGTAATAATTTCCTTTATTCTCATGACCATAATGTGCAATTTGGGGGTGATACTGCAGGGAGAGGTGTGATGCTAGTCACTCTTTAAGGGTCTATGATAGTGTGGATTTGAACTGCAGTCCACAATGCTTTATTTCCCAAAGTAAAAACTTGTTGTCGCTGTTTTGTTTAGGTAAATGTGTAGTTCCTGTCTTCTCAACCATGGCTGGTCTATGTGGAATGGCTGTTGGTGTCATAGCATGGTGTCATCAGCAATTGAAGTAAGTTCTTAATATACTGGCAGAATGTAGCAGTGAATCTGTAAACTTTTCTATTCAGTCAAGGATATGATATTTTTTGTGTGTGTGACTTCCAGCATTTTCATAGAGAATTCAGCCATAGCAAAAGATGTATGAATATTTCTCAATACATTCAAAAAGTCTCTAAGGGAATGTTTTAGAGTTTACCAAGATTTCCCTTCAGTGGAGTAAATCTGTTTACAAAGCCTCTTTATCGCTAGAAAATTTGGAAGGATTTTGGAGTGCAGAGCATCAACTTGATGACCTCAGAAATCTTGAATTTTCACCTAACGTCAGCAGTTTAGTACATTGAAAAATTAAAACTTAGAAATGACACTTCATGGATCTTCTCTTCATCTTCATCTTCATTTCACCCAAAGGTTATAAATATTCCCTCCCTTCTCAAGACATTATTTTTGTACACAAAGAATCACAATCCCCACCTAATGAGGAAGGAAGTTAATTTTATTTGTCATTATCATTACATGACATGATCATTATTATTAATTATAGAAAGGTAAAATTATTACTGAAGTATGGTATATTAATAACACTTTACTTGTACGCATCATTTATACTTCACAAATTCTTCAAATCTGTGAGTAAGTTATGAGGCACCATCATTTGTTGTTGTTATTGTTTTTAATTCCCAGTCCAGATGTTGCTCTTCCATCTATTTCTGCATATGATGATGAAGACCAAATGTTGGCATTTGTGAAATCCAAATTAAAAGAAATTGCCAAAAAGAAAGGTATAGCTGATCTGGCATGGTGTCATTATCATATGAAATGATGAAGGGTTTATTTTGTTTCTAATGAATGAAAGTAATTGCACAGAACACCATCAAAAAATGGAGATTTTTGCTTTGGTTATTTCTTAAAATGAAAGGTAGATCAGCAGA